CACACAGCCAGGTTGTTCTTGTACTTTAAGTCTCATCACCCTTGTTGCCTCCAGAGAGAGGCCCTTCCTGTCTTGCTAATCTAGATTGGTTTCCCCTGACTCCAGCTACTCTGCTTCATCTCAACTGCCATCATTTTCTTAGCACTTGTATGTGTTTGAAATGACTAATATTGTTTCCTGCTTCCTTATGAGTTCTTCACTATCATGTAAAGTAATTAAAAGAAAATTTTGGTCATACTCACTGCTGTGAATCAGCAGGATTACACGGCAGTATGGAGAGTAATCCTCAAAAAATACATTTATTTCAGAATGGATGCATTCTATAAATATAAAAAATAACATTTATTGAGTGTTTACACTGTAAACTGTGCTAAAATATTGTTCTGCAGATTTTCTCTTAAAAGCATCTTGCCAACACTACTGTTTCTATTTTACGGGGACATTTGCCAAAGTACTTTACCCGGCATTATGCAGCTTGTTAGTTAAATCTTTCTGTGGTGCGAAAATCCTGCAGCCCTTGAACCACACAGCCATTAAGACAACTCTGTAGCAGCCCCAGCCCCTTTCCGGTTCACATTAGAAAAGATGGGATTTAGTACCTACACTGAGCAGTGGTTAGACTTGTTTATTGTGGCCATTGGGGAGAGGCTGTAATGTTTAGTAAACATCAAAGATCTGTGTCATTGGACTGAATATGGTGCACAGTCATTTTTGTTTTCCCAATACATTGCTTAAAAACAGGAAGACTCACCCAAAATCTAGATTTGCTGCATCTCCTGAGTATCAGCTATCCCCTCTGATGGGGTCCATGTGTTCTTGCTCACTTTGGCCTCCATCTTTGGCCATGTCTCACCCTCAGCTTGCCTGGCCCAAAAGGCATTCACATTTTTTTAGAAGATCATGAGGAGGAAATGCACAACATGTGTTTGAGTAGTCAGTGCACATATAGTTGCAGAAATAGGGTTACATATCCCAAAATGCAATAAGTGAAGAGGTCGCCCTCATTATGTACAGGGTGCACGCCTTCCCACAGAGACCAGCAGCTTCTCTATACCTTCTGCATCAAGGACTGGACAAGCATCAGAGTTCTCTGTTCAATGTCAGCCCAAACTATCGCAAACATCTCCGCTGAGCCAGCGGTGATTTCCCCTGCCCCCATCAATGTTCTCCTCTGCTTAGGTGGTGCGGTCAGTGTCCATAGTCAAATAAATCCTGTCTTCTGAATTGGAATCTTCAAGGCAGCCACAGATGAGTCTACAATGACTGGATCTATATGTGCAGTCAGTCCAGATGCCCCTTTACACCCAAGTAGCTGAACTTCAATATGCCTGAGTTTGCCTAACAGCCTGTGTTGCTTTACTATAGTGACTAGTGACACAGTAAACAAAGACTTCTTCACTGTTACTTATCTGCCCCTATAAATCATATTTACGCACAAATACCATGCTTGCTTTTTGAGAAAAAAAAAAAAACAAAAAAGTCCATATGTTTTTAATACACTTAAAATAATTGTTCTTATATGGTGAACATTGAGTTTTGGTCACCTACAGGCACATAATGTTGTATGTTAGTGTTTTAAAATATATTGAACTGGGAACCATTGCTCAAATTTTTCTGAGTAGGAAATCCATACTCGAAGACATCATTCACATGACCTTAATGTTGCTTAACTTTCCTTTATCCTTGCCTTGACTATTTAAAACTCAAAATTTCTGTGTTTTTGTTCTTATTTCTATCAGAGTTGTTTTTTTTTTTTTTAAAGATTTATTTATTTATGTGAATGTCAGAGTTACACAGAGAGAGAAGGAGAGGCAGAGAGAGAGAGAGTCTTCCATCCTCTGGTTCACTCCCTAATTGGCCACAAATGTAGAGCTGTGCTGATCTGAAGCCAGGAACCAGGAGCTTCCTCCAGTTCTCTCACAGGGGTGCAGGCGCCCAAGGTCTTGGGCCGTTTTCAACTGCCCTCCCAGGCCATAGAAGAGAGCTGGATTGGAAGTGGAGCAGCCAGGACTTGAACTGGTGCCCACATGGGATGCCGGCACTGAAAGCGATGGCTTTACCTGCTATGCCACAGTGCTGGTCCCTCTATCATAGTTTTTTCCCCTATGTGATTACTAATTTCTGTTTGGTAAAATCCTCTCAGATCTAAAAATTGAGGATGAAATTTTTGTACATTATTTATGACCCATGCTCCCAAAATGCATGCCAAATTTGGTTTTAAGATTCCAACATCTGGGCTTCTAGTTACTGCATTATTTATCCCTTAACCAAAAGTATGAGAGGTAAACAAAAAGAGTTTATACATTTATAATGCACTTAATAATTATTTTTCTTCTATGGTGGACATTTAATTTTGCTCGCCTATAGGTAGGTAGTGTTGCATGTCAATTTTTTAAAAATATTATAATGAGAAACATTGTTCCAATTTTTTTTTGTAAATGCTAAACATTTAATAAGAGTTCTTTCACATACCAAAAGAAGGAGGAGGAGAAAGAAGAAAGGGAAAGAAGATAAGTTAGGTGGGTTAAAAGGAGAGGGGGAAGGAGGCGGGGAAGGAGGCAGGGAAGGAGGAGGGAGGGAAGGAAAGGAAGGGCTTGTCAGAGTGGAACCTTCGGGAAGAACCATTTCCTTAAGTGTTCTGTGGCCTGGGCAGGGATTGCTTGTGCTGCACTCTCCCAAACGCATTCTGCCAAATTCCCTGCCTTCAGTCACAATGTGATCATGTGAGAAAATGCACAGTACTTGCTTTTAGAGAGAGAGAGACATTGTGTCTACAACTTACATTCAAATGGTTCAGAAAAAAACAACAATGTGCACTTGTAGGCATGAGTTTCCTAGGACTACCCTGACAAGATACCACAGGCCATGTGGTGTTAAACCTGTGGATTGAACAACGGAAACTCTTTCTCACAGTCCTGGAGGCTGAAGTAGGAGGTCAAGGTGTTAGCAAGATTGGTTTCTCCTGGGTCCCTGTCCTTGGCTTGCAGAAGGCTGTGTGCTTTCTGTGTCATGACCTTTCCTCTCTATCCTTTTTAATGTCCTTTATAATAAACTGATTAATAAGCTTTTTCCTGATTTCCATCAGCCATCACAGACAATGTAATAGAACCCAACGAGAGTATGCATGCCTTGATTTATAGACCATTGACCAGACATATCTATGGCCACACCATCCTGAACATGCCTGATCTTGTTTGTTCTAATATTCTGAGTATGAAATACATGTTCAGAAAATGTCATTCAAATGATTCAGTATTGGTTTAGTATTTTCTAAAATAAATTCCCTAACCTCACACACACACACACACACACACGCACATATGAATGTTTTGAAATGTCTAACTTTTTATCAAGGGATGTAATTGAAATACATAATAATATATACATAAAAATTGATCACTATTTGTATAGGTTTTATTGTTTTGTAAAGCCTTACATAGTGAGCCAATATAAATGTACAGTGCTGTGTGGCCTTAATTCATTATAGGATTTATAAATTAATGCCTATAAAGTGTTTTAAGTCTTACACAAGGCTAAAGAGATTAATGCAATTATGTGCAAAATTTATGTGCAATTATATATACACATTGAAGGAAGAGGAGAGTAAATGTTTTAAATATTTTATAGCACATATGCCTGCATTAAATCTACTATTAAAACAAGCTAAAAGTGAGAATAATAACCATTGCATTTTTTATCCCTATCCTCACGGTACCTGTTACTTTATTAAAGCTCAATACATATAAGAACCAAACGGACAATGTCTCATTTTATCATTAGTGACCATATCATTTATAATAGATTTCTCAAGCCTTTCCTTTCTCATCTGGATTTAAATTCCATCTGAAAATGCCTTTTCTCATTTAGCTGGTATTTAATATTTCATATCTGTAATTATTTGGTAGCCAAGGCTTATGATCAACAAGCTAGACATTCAGCTAATACTATTTGCAAATAAAATAACATCATTTTTGACAGTAGGGTATATATAGTCAGTGCAGTATGTTCGGAGAGTCTGACAACTGTTGGTCAAAGAACATTAACCAAGTAACTGAGATGTTGTAAAATTGGTAGAAATTACATACACACCAGGAATAAAAAGGCTGGAGACACTCCACAGCCAGGCTTTTAACCTGTGCCTGTGATTGTAATGGCTCTTCCATACGTGTGCTTAAGACCCTTTTTATTACAGGTAATTTTCTGCATAAAGCCATCAACCAGATAAGCTGTATTTCAAAACTTTTCAATGTCTTTTATTACATTATCATCACCGTGGTTGATTCATTTATGAAATACAAAATCACTCTCATTTGGAGAGATTTATTCCATATCTTTTTTTTCCCCTGGATTTGCCAAAACCCCATCATATTCGTGTTCTGAAGGTTAATACCCAAAGTCAAGCAGACAGAAGCCAAGTGCTGCAAGGTTTCCAAGATTAGGACTGATTCCCTTCACAGAAATAAATGATTCCTGCCATGTTCAGTGATTTTGTGCAGTGCTCCCCACGGCTGAGTGAGTGCATCAATACTGTAGTCCTTACATGCTGTACATACTGATGACACTCGGTGTTAACTTGATTGACTGAGCAGTGCGCTGGAGAGGATGCACCTGCGAGAGAAATGCAGACACATATATTTTTATCCTAGGTTTGAAACATTTATTTTACATTTATTTTACTTGGGAGTGATAGTTTCAGATTCCATGGGCTCCAAAGCCACGCTGCTAAGGTAGAGCAAACCGTTAAGTGCTGCTTTGCTGTCAGAATTATACCAAAAATGGTCTCAGGTTTATACTCTTTGCCAAAGCCTGATTTTATGCTTTTCAGGGAAAATAATATCAAAGTGATTATTAAAGATCCTGACAAATTAAGGGTTCTATGAAACTTAAGTCTCATAAGAGGTTCTATCTAACGATAGGCAAGTAGATCATTTAATTCAATGTTGAGAAATCATTTTGGCTATGTTTTTTTTTATCTTGTATTTTATTATCATGTTTTGTAGGCTCTGAGGCAGCAGCAGAAAAGAAGAAATGGAGTCTCAATGATGGTAAACAAGACTGTGCCTCGTGTTGTGTTGACACCATTAAAGGTGTCCGATGAGCAGTCGGATTCACCTTCAGGTAAAGAGCTAAAATTCCCTGTGCATGGCTACTTGTCCCTAAAGGAGACATCCTCAGTGGGAGAGATGTTGGGAATTTTTTTCTGAGCCTGGATACTGCCACTGAGGTTTGATTTCAATTTTTTTTTTATACCATTGACTCTTTATGTGATTCAAAAATAAAGATATTTCCCAGTTTAATAAAAGGGGGGGGCAACATGCTTATCCTCAAAGGACTTCATTTGCTAAATGTGGAAATGTGTAAGAAAATATGTGCGTGGTGATGCTTTGGGCGGGGGAGGCTTTTCTTGTGGCTTTTGCTTGTGTTTCAATCATGAACTTTAATGGTGGGCCACATGCTGGTGTGTAATTCCATCAAGCGCAGTTCTTCTGGGAGTGTGAATTTGTTTTCCAGTTCTCTGCTGTAACATCAGGAATCCTTTATTAGTTTTTGTGTTCCGGCAACATTCTTCTCACTTCAGTGCAGTCCTGACCTTTTCTTCTAATTTACCTCGTGTCATTTTATCAGCTGGCGCCGTTCTATTTATTACAGATTAATGCTTGCATTTTCTATTCCGGCTTCAACATGGAGTTATTTATAAAGGTCTGATTGCTCCCTCTCCTCAGGACTCCCTTTTCTTCATCTTTCTGTCTGTGTCTTATATCGTCTGTAACTGGCATGGCATTGCTCAAGCTTGTTCATGTGTTTTTAAAAACGATCTGACTATTTCTTTTAAAAGCTATCAGATCAGTGAACGTGTTTTTGACTCTGCTATTAGGCCATCTGTTGTTGCTTTTTGTTCTGTTTGATTGATTTATTGGGCTTTTCTTTTTATATCCAGTAGGGGAATCAGATTGTGGCCAAAGGTAGTGTATTAACTCTTAGAAAAGGAGATTATATCTATGGTTCTTGAAAGAATTTTAGATTTTCTTTTCAAGGACAGCAAGAGAAAGATAATGGCATAATAACTATTTCCTTTTTTAGGATCCGAATCTAAAAATGGTGAAGCAGACAGTTCAGATAAAGAAATGAAACATGGGCAAAAATCTCCTACTGGAAAGCAAACAAATCAGCACTTAAAACGATTAAAAAAGTCTGGTTTAGGTGAGTGTTCAATAGGCTGTGACATTTTACCTTTTAGAGATTTATGTCTTTTTAAATTGTGGGAAATTCCCAGAAGTTTTTTTTTTTTTTAAGTGGTTGAATAAGGAAATTTAAATATCCTATTTATCTAAACCAAAAAGAGTACCAAGCAAGGAACCATAGTTAAAATTGAATGTTCTTAAGCTGATTTGTAAATTTGCAAATGATGTTAATGGGTAAAGCAGAAAGTAAAGATAAACTGATATACAGTGTGCATTCAGATAATTAAGTGCCTACTCATGATTCTGTCTCTCATGTGGTATTTTTGTCTGTGTGATTGTTTTACTTTTTGCAATGTACTGTATTCGGGAGAAATGCAACTTTTATGAAGGATTCATTGAACTGGAGAATACATTATCATCGGGGTCTGCTGCGGTGGAACTGCTTTGCCTTGCTTTTTGTCTATGTTCCTTAAATATTTACCAGTGCCTGTCTGAGAGCGAGTACAAGATTGCTGAGAAGTGGGGGAGACCCTGGGCATAGGTCTTGCCAGTCAGCACCAAGTTTTCTTTTAAATATTTTCCTTCCTGATAACTTTCTATCAGGTATCCAGCACTAGCATTGAGAGAAAGGGAGTATGAAAATTAAAAAAGACAAAAATAAACATATCCTGGAATGAACATTATAATTCTTGGCTTCCCCTGCCTTATTGACTGACCCGGACCTAATGGCTTCGTTTTTCTCTCTCTCTCTCAGTTCACTTGTGAATAGGGGTAATGATAATAATTCAGGTCATTATAATATTTTATAGAACAGTTGATAGAAACCATAAATTTATTAACCTGGACTTTATTAACTAGTTCTGCCACACTTTCTTGGCAACTTGGAGTACTTCTTATTCGTAGAGTTCATCTGTTTGGAAAATGCAAGCAAGATTTTAACTGATTTAAAGTTTTTAGTAAAGTCTTATTGATTTATACCCTATACCAGGCATTTTGCTAAATTTTGTTAACATACTTTCAGTGAAAGCCTTTGAATAGGATTTATATACCTGTACATCAGAGACCTCTGAGGAAGTAGAATTATTTTTTAACTATAACAAAATTACCTATTTTATGTTATTTCCAAGGATAAATAAATTTTTAATTCTTGTTCCTAGCCCAAAGTATGTTTTTGTGAAAACACAATTACACATACACTGACATATTTCTTTTAGTCCATGAGGTGCTGTAAATAAAGTTCTTTAATAGATCTAACTTTGAAAATAGAAAACTCTAGTGGAAGAATTGTATTAAACAACTTATTAAAATTATGTATTCAAAAATAGTACCATGTTTCCATATACTAAATGATTTAAAGTTCAGTGGCCGTTAGTTGAGACAGATCTGCCACCAACCTCAGAGTGGCCAGTGCCACACAATGAGTATGAAAAATTTCAAGGCACCAGGGCCTCCCTATTTAACTTACTTAGCCAACTCCAGGACGAGAGGGTGCCCAGAGAGTGTACTGTGTGCCTCATCAGGACCCTCCCAGGCGCTCAGGTCTTCAATCAGGAGCTCTCCGATTGTTACCTTGACATCCATACTCAAGCAGATAAAGAATTAGAATTATTTTTTGTTCTTTTTCATACTGAGAGTCAACTGAAAGGTACAAAGGTGAACAGACAAGCCTGTTTGTAGGAAATCTTGCATGCCACTCTACAGCTTACATGTTAAAAACAGGGCTACCAGAGTATTATGGCTGACTTGTTAGCAAGTTCAAAAGGTAATAAAGGAGACCACTATGGTTTTTTAACCTGCTTTCCTGTAGGCTACAAGACAATAGAAATAATGAAACCATTTTAATGGAGGGATGGAGAAGTGAAATCATGCCCACTGCTCATATTTAATGGAATGGTCTAGGTATTTTGACATGTTACCTCATTGAATTCTTCAATTTTGTACAATAGATGATTTCTATTTTACAGCTGAGGAAGCTAAGACCCAGGAGGGTTGGGACATTGTTCATGAATGAGCCAACTAGAATTCAAGCCAAGGAATAGTTAACTCCAAAGTCTCACCCATTATCTGGATAGAATCTGAATATCAAATCATGCAGCCTGTATTTTTCAACTGCAGGCACCACTAAGGAGCATATAGCAGTGTATGTCACAAATCTGCCATTAGGTGTGAAAGTGCGGGTACACTAGTTACACATAGAAGGAGAGCTGCCTGGCTGATCCTATGTCAAGCAGAAGAAGAAAGTGGGAATTAAAATAAGTCAATTAAGATAGAAATCTGTCAAAAATAAGCTCCCGGTGATTCCTGGGAAGGCAATGTGACTAGCAAGCAGATGAATGGAATGGCTTATTTTGTGCAAATGAAGTTAATAATATATATTAAGCTTCCAATGTACACCCAGAAATATAATATGAAACATTTTTAAAAACTAAAATGGAAGAAAGAACCTAACATGAAACCATCTCTTTTTAGACCGTGATATCTTTGATATTCTGTTAGAATGAGGATATTTAATATTCTGTAAGGCATAATAACGTATACTGCTCTTTTTGCCATTAAGTTGTTAACTCCTGGGGACCATTGACTTTCTCCTCCATTTTTGTAGTCCTTGCTGCACCCATTCTATCTGTTGCAGAAAAACTCCCAAGCTGGTTGGAGGAGTTGCTATACAACCCCCAAACTTGGATCAGCTTGCCCAACACACAGAGAGCCAGTTACTGACATCACAGTGATGGCAGAAAAGTACGTATTTACTTGCAATATGCAGAGCAAAGAGCCAGACAGCTATTGCTTAATTCCTGTCCTCCCCAAGTGTTTGGGGGTGAGGGTTCTTGTGGTTTGAAGCAGGAGCTTAGAGGTGAATCACCAGCTCATGTCCAGGTTCCTGGTTGGTCAATGGTGTTCCTGGACTTCCTTTGATTGGTCAGTGTTGCTGTGCTCTTCAGGGAATTTTTATGATGGCTAGGTGGGCTTCAGTTGTCTGGGGCATTGCATTCAGGTAGTAGTTACATTCTGTCTGAGACCTGGAGTACCCCTAAACAAAACCCCACAGAGACAATACTGGCCATCATGGTTTTTATCCACAGGAGAAGCCAATGACTCCTTGAGTCTTCTGATGAGAACCTTATAGGGCCATCTGTACCACTCCCTCAATTAAGTGAATTCCTTTTGATAAGTGATCAATTCTAAAGGATGAGCAAAGGGGCTGGCGCCGCGGCTCACTAGGCTAATCCTCCGCCTTGCGGCACTGGCACACTGGGTTCTAGTCCCGGTTGGGGCGCCGGATTCTGTCCCGGTTGCCCCTCTTCCAGGCCAGCTCTCTGCTGTGGCCCGGGAGTGCAGTGGAGGATGGTCCAAGTGCTTGGGCCCTGCACCCCATGGGAGACCAGGATAAACACCTGGCTCCTGCCATCGGATCAGCGCGGTGCGCCGACCGCGGCGGCCATTGGAGGGTGAACCAACGGCAAAGGAAGACCTTTCTCTCTGTCTCTCTCTCTCACTGTCCACTCTGCCTGTGGGGGGGGGGGGGGGGGAAAGGATGAGCAAAGACCCGTTGGGCTAATTGAGATGATGAGAGGCTGGGTCTTGCCTCTACCTCAGGAACATTAGTGTAGGGTTTCAGTCTCATATCCCTGTTGTTTACTAGACATTGAATAGGTTTGGAATGAACTAATGATTTTAATTAACTGAATGACTGGTAAGTTTATCAGAATGAATGATGGATTCTATAGATTTCAGCATAGCACTGAAACTACTAATATCTCTGAATAAAAATGACTTTGAGCTTTGGGGGAAGGTCATTGTTTTTGAACCAGTGTGTAGCTAGGAGCTGAACCAGTAGAAAGGAAGCACCCTCTCCCACCCCCCCACCCCCCAGGCAGCCAGATGGAGACAGCCAGTTCTCCCTCATCTGTTTTTCTCACCTGAGTCAGACATTTAATTCCCACAGTTTCAGAAATGTGGTTTTAACCTTCTTTGCTTGCTATAGGTAGGGGTTGTGTATAAATTATAAAATTATAAACTTTGAAACTATTATTAATTTAAACAAATATAGCAATATGTTTAATTTAAACTGATAATTCTGAAAGAAAATCCAATCAAAATCAGACTTAAGGCTGTAAGTCTAAATTTTCTTTCTCATTGTGAAATTTGCCTAATGAAGTTTTTTTTCTTTTTTTAAAGATGTAACACACATCTAATTGTACCTTAGCTGCTTTATTTCAATCTCTGGCAATAACTTAATTTGTCAAATTGTAGGATATTCACTCCGTTTAAGGCATAGATGTCATGTGGTCTTGAAACCCAATGAGTGTGCAGTTGCCCGGGTCTGTTTTCCTGGGAAATCAGGGGGAAAGCGCCACAGCCCTCCCCTTCATATGTATAACCCACAGTATAACCCTTCATATGCCCCATTTCCCTGGAGATTGTTAAGAATAGACAATAAGAAATAGTAATAATGACCTTCAATATCTTTAGCCATTTTAGTTCTGACAGTAAGCTTGAATTCTTAGGAGAACTACATCATGGAACACTGCTATTGTTGGTCTAGGTGTTTTCCTTAGTCTTGACTACGGTTATGTATGAAAACTGAAAATTCTTGGAGTAGCTCTTGTTGAATGGACTTGGAGGTGACTGAGTGCAGTTAAAAAGAATTATGATTCTCCATGGTATTCCCTCATGATGTCATAGTAAAACAAAACAAACAAACCGAACTTTACTCCTCCCTCTATTGTCAGAAGCAAACAAAACAAAACAAAACAAACAAACAAAACAAACAAGCAGTAATGATGTTTGCAGGGTGTTCATTATTATTTTCATAGGCCTGGCACAGTAGTACAACAGTAAATGTTACACTGCCAAATAGCCTAGCAGTGGAAACTTCATCTGGTGAGATGGAGGGTAGTTACAAGCTGCAAATGGGGTTTGAAGTATGCGTTTTTCTTTTGTAAGCACTTGTCATATTACTCTTACCTTGTCTTAGCAAAGGATAAGACTCATTTACAACCTCTGCAATGGTGTTTT